AGGAACAGGGGGAGGAAGAGGAGGAGGAGGAGGAACAGGAAGAGGAACAGGAGGAGGAGGAGGAGGAACAGGAGGAGGAAGAGGAGGAGGAGGAACAGGAAGAGGAGGAGGTGGAGGAGGAACAGGAGGAAGAGGAGGAGGAGGAGGAGAAGGAACAGGAGGAGGAAGAGGAGAAGAGGAGGAAGGAACAGGAGGAGGAGGAGGAGGAACAGGAGGAGGAGGAGGAGGAACAGGAGGAGGAGGAGGAGGAACAGGAGGAGGAGGAGGAGGAACAGGAGGAGGAGGAGGAGGAACAGGAGGAGGAGGAGGAGGAACAGGAGGAGGAGGAGGAGGAACAGGAGGAGGAGGAGGAGGAACAGGAGGAGGAGGAGGAGGAACAGGAGGAGGAGGAGGAGGAACAGGAGGAGGAGGAGGAGGAACAGGAGGAGGAGGAGGAGGAACAGGAAGAGGAACCGGAGGTGGAGGATCAAGAGGAGGAGGAGGAACAGGAGGAAGAGGAGGAGGAGGAACAGGAGGAAGAGGAGGAGGAAGAACAGGAGGAGGAGGAGGAGGAACAGGAGGAAGAGGAGGAGGAAGAACAGGAGGAGGAGGAGGAGAAGGAACAGGAGGAGGAAGAGGAGGAGGTGGAGGAGGAACAGGAGGAAGAGGAGGAGGAAGAACAGGAGGAGGAGGAGGAGAAGGAACAGGGGGAGGAAGAAGAGGAGGAGGAGGAACAGGAGGAGGAGGAGGAGGAACAGGAAGAGGAGGAGGTGGAGGAGGAACAGGAGGAAGAGGAGGAGGTGGAGGAGGAACAGGAGGAAGAGGAGGAGGAAGAACAGGAGGAGGAGGAGAAGGAGGAGAAGGAACAGGGGGAGGAAGAGGAGGAGGAGGAGGAACAGGAGGAGGAGGAGGAGGAACAGGAAGAGGAGGAGGAACAGGAGGAAGAGGAGGAGGAAGAACAGGAGGAGGAGGAGGAGAAGGAACAGGGAGGAGGAGGAGGAACAGGAGGAAGAGGAGGAGGAGGAGGAGAAGGAACAAGAGGAGGCAAGGAACAGGAGGAGGAACAGGAGGAAGAGGAGGAGGAGGAGGAGAAGGAACAGGAGGAGGAAGAGGAGGAGGAGGAGAAGGAACAGGAGGAGGGAAGGAGGAAGAGGAGGAGGAGGAGGAGAAGGAACAGGAGGAGGAGGAGGAGGAGGAACAGGAGGAGGAGGAGGAGGAGGAACAGGAGGAGGAGGAGGAGGAAGAACAAGAGGAGGAAGAGAATGAGGTGGAGGAGGAACAGGAGGAGGAGGAACAGGAGGAGGAAGAGGAGGAGGAGGAGGAGAAGGAACAAGAGGAGGGAAGGAGGAGGAGGAGGAGATGGCTGTGCAGCAGAGCACAGCGAAGCCTGTTTCGCAGGCCACCCCTCTGCCTGGCATGCCCTTACCTGGCTTCCACTGGGTTTTAGTGAACTCTACGCATCCTAAAAGCTCAGACAAAACCACCGTCCGTGAGCCCCTGCCTCAGAGCTCCCCAGGCCATGACTGTATTTATCCCTTAGGCTTCAGCCTTGGGGTGACACCATCCCCGGGCCTGGCCTGCAATGGGTTTTAGTGAACTCTACGCATCCTAAAAGCTCAGACAAAACCACCGTCCGTGAGCCCCTGCCTCAGAGCTCCCCAGGCCACGACTGTATTTATCCCTTAGGCTTCAGCCTTGGGGTGACACCATCCCCGGGCCTGGCCTGCAAGTACAGGTCCCATCTTGCCCATCTTGGTGCTCTGGCCCAAAGCTGGGCACATCCCAGGATACAATGAACATGACACAATGGACCACGGAACTCTCCCAGCACAGCATCCCACACTCCACCCATACTCGGCCCTCGTTCCGCACACCCCCACCTGCACCCACCTCATCTTGCAGGTTGATGTCACTGGGCCCGCGGTTGAGCTGCTCCTGCAGGCTGGACACGACTGCGTTGTTGCCAGGCACTCGGTAAATGCCCGTGGACTCCAGCCCCCGTGCCTCCACAATGCGACAGCATGCAGCCACGATCAGGGGGACACGCTGGGGACACAGGCAGGGCGGGAGTGTTATGGGGCACGGAAGTCAGAGGAGGCAGGGGAGGCCATAATGGGAGCAGCGCAAAGCCCAGAGCTACTGCCAGAAACCCCATGGGGGACAAAAGGCCCTTGCTGCCTCTAGTCTGGGAGCTAGAAATGACACCAGTGCCTCATCGTGGTCTGTGAAGGAGCAGGCTGAACCTCAGCTCTGCAGCTCCCTCCCTGGGAGAGCAGGGCAGCGTGGGGGGCCTTCCCCTCCCTGAGCTGTTTCCCCAGCTGTCTGTACAATGAGGTAGAGAGCAGGTTCCATGTCCCTGGCAGCTCAGACCCTCGGTGCCTCAGTCTCCCCCTGGCCTGCCTGTATGGAGCATGGTGGGGACCCACCTGGTTCTCTGTGGCTGGCTGGCACTCCTCCAGCCGGACCCCAAATGCCCGCGGGGCTGCCTTCTTGTTCTTCTTGATGATGTTGATGCCCCAGGGGGTTCTGGGGGCAGCAGCACTGTCATCTGGGGTGGGGGAGGCAAAGACAGCCAGGGTGAGCTGGGGGAGCCCAGGAGGGTCACAGACACTCACTGCCACATTCACATGTGTTTGGACACATGGGGACTCTAACAGAGAAGCAGCCAGGATGCTGAGACTCCCAAGAGAAGGCCACAGGGACGAGGGCGTGTACCCTGGAGGAGAGAGGCCCCTGAGTGATGTAAGAGCTTCTGGGTGGCCTCAAGGGCTAAAACTATCAGGTGGGAGTCATAGATTCTGGTACAGCCAAAAGAAGAGCTTTCTTTTTTTGGTTTGCTTGTTGCTTTTCACAGCTGGCCAGTACGGGGATCACGAACCCTTGACCTTGGGGTTATCAGAACCACGCTCTAACCTAGTGAGCTAACTGGCCAGCCCCTACCAAAGGAAGAACTTTCTAACAGCCAAGTGTGCAAAGATGGAGAAGACTGCCTCCAGAGCAGAGACTGGAAGACCATGCAGCAGGGATGGCATGGAGGGAGTCAGGTGCCACACCCTTCCAGCCCTGAGACCCTGAGAGCCCGCAGACCCTCACAGGCACACACACATGGGCAGACACACTAGGTAACCCTGGCACACACTCACAGGCAGACACACAGTCCAACGCACATATGCACGCACATGCTCTCCCCTCTCTGTGCAGACCCATAGAGCTGACCCCAGCCCCCAACTCACACACAGACACACACACCGCACCCCATCTCAGCAGCCACCTTCCTACCCTTGCTCCCGGCAGGCTGGTCCTGAGTCCTGAGGCCACGTGCCGTGCTCTGCTTGAGGAACTCAGACTTGAGACCCCCCAGGCCGCGAGAGCCTTTTGGGGAGGAATCAGCTTTGAGACCAGAGCTATGGCTGTATAGGAAAAGGGGGAGAGGAGGGGTCTTCATTTGAGGTGGCCCAGCATGCTACCTGCCCTGGCCTCCTGCCACTGGGACCTCCCCTCCATCTGGAGGCAATTCCTCCATGCCTGTGGGGGACTGGTGACCCTTGATACCCCTGCCCCCAGAAGTCAGCAACCTGGGGGGTTGTCTCAGGCCTGGAGGTGGGTGGAGGACAACCTCTGCCTGGAGTCTCCCCACCACCCCCAACGGTGAGGACTGCTCCATGAGGACTAGGCCTCACCTCACTTTGCGGTAATCATTAAGCTTCTTGCTGATCAGAGCTTGGTTGGCACAGCCGGGGTCCTGGAGCAGGAGGGAAGAGAGAGCAGCCCACATCAGTGCCCACAGCCAGCACGCCCCAGGGTGCATCCCTGGCCCCTGCCCCAACCCCCCTCCCTAGTCCATCTGTACAGACCCTGGAGTGAGAATGACCAGGGCTGGACTCCCAGGCACTGGCTCACCAGCTGTGTGACCTGGGGTAAGCCACCGAGCCTCTCTGAGCCTCACTCTCCTCAGCCATAAACATGGGGAGCTAATAAGGCAACCTCAGGGCTGGGGTGCAGAACTGTGAACGCAGCACTCATCACAGTCCTGGCAGGACTGTGTGTCTGCTTGTGTCTGCCTGTTAGTGTGCGCCAGGGTTACCTAGCATAGGGCAGATGCCCCTTGAGGGGCAGCTACCGCAATAATGAAAGTGACTCAGGACCCTCTGACCAAGCCCTATTGGGGACAGCCCAGCCAGGCCCCCAGAGCAGGGGGCCCAGACTCCGGGTACTTTCCTTCCTGCAGTGAGGACAGATGATGTCCCAGGAAGGGCAAAGCTGGTCAGTGAGAGGATGTGTTGTCCTGGGCTATGGCCCAGGAGCTGTGCACTAGCCCCTCTCCCATGGCCAGAGGGACCAGGTCCCAGGCCCACAGCTGTCACAGACCAGCGCCCCCGTCACAGGACTCCCACATGACCTTGTGCAGGTGTGTCAAGGCACCTTTGTGCAGGCACCTCGATGAAGGAACAAGTGGGGGCGGAAACCCAGCCCAGGTCCCCTTCGAGTGCAGCTAGCTACAGCTACCCAGGAGGGGGTGCCTTTCTTTTTAATCCTCCCAAAATTCCTGCCCAAGCCTTTGGCTCAGCCCTTGCCTGCCCACTGCCAAAGGCCAAGCCTTTTGGCCTCCTCCTGAGGTCAATGTATTCATCCCCCTGCAGCAGCCAGAGGCACCTGGTTCTGTAAGGCTCCATAGGAGACTCCCCATCCCTCACCTCTGCGACGAGTTGAGATTGGCCTGGAGCTAGCCCCTGTGTGCCAGAGCCTGCCCAAAGCAGTCCTAACAATAACAATAATCACTATCATTACTATGGTTATGGCTGTCACAGCCAGGCCAGTGGCCGAGCCTTGAGGATGCCAGCACTAGGTGAGCCACTGTCCCTGCATCTCCCTCATGCATGCCCTGGGTGGACACAGCCACAAGGTGTGCTCTTGCTAGCCCCGTTCTCTAGCAGAGGGAGTGAAGCCCAGAGCGGTCATCCCAGGTGCACAGCAGGTGCCAGGCAGCTCCTGCCCTGGCCGGGGGGCTGGACCTGGCCCTCACCTCGCCCTCGGCCCTGCTGTTCTCCCGGATCGCTCTGATCCAGCCCAGCATGTCATCCCGGTCCTCAGCCTGAAAGAGATATTCACAGAAGTCAGCGGTGGTCAGCCGGAACACGTGCCTCCTCTTGGTCTCGCTGTAGGAGATGTCCACCAGGCAGGAGCCGATGCAGACGGGCGCCG